GGAGCTGGGTAATTTCTACCATCCTGCCAAATCTATTTCTGCATTATCTGGAGATGCCTCTACTAAGTATATCTCCCCCACGCTTTATGAGTCCGCTCCCTTTAACTTGGTCATATAGAAGAATTACAGTGTTCATTTTACCTTTCTGAATGTGGAGGTATCACCGCCCCTGAGCCATTCTTTTCTCTTGGCATTTGAGTGTTTAACTATCACAGTTTAGAATATCTGTGAAATCTCCTAAGGGCTGAGCTATTAAGTGAGCCTCACTAATACTTGGGCGTCTGAGGCACATTCTGCTTTGCTGTTTCCTACTCGTCATGGGGCACACAGCAACTCTCTTTAAGGGCCTGAAAAATCTCCGTTTAGTTTTTCTGATTCTCTTTGGAAATTACATATTCAGGTGATACTTACAGAATCACAAAGGGGTAGGAATGTTAGATTACTGTATAACCTAGTGACTATCACCCAGCCCTCCTCAGTTTCACACCTCATGATACATGATCTGTAGCCACTTCTCTTTATCCCCTCAGAGTTTAGCTTCCTACTTCAGGAATCAATTAACATTAACATGTAATGGTTTCGCTATAAACATGACTTACCACGTTTTATTTTATTAAAAGGTAATTATGAGACCCCCCCCCATAAGAATATTTCTATGAACTATGGCCAAAGCATACACTTATGTTGATAATTATAAATATTTTGTACTTTTTTGCCTTTAAGAGCAAGGAGTTGTTTTTTAATGGAAAGAACATAGACTTTGATAACCTGTTCAAATCCTTCCTTTACCACTTGTTAACTTTTTAACGTGGAAAGGTGGCATAACTTTCCTGAGTCACTTTTGTCCAGTTATTAAACACAACAGCAGCCTAACAATAACACTATTGTCTGATGTTTTCTGCGTGCTTAGTATGTGTCAGGCATCATTCCAGTTTCTTTACACACATTACGTAATTTAATCTCACAAGGACTTTAGTAGGCACTGTCGTTTCCATTTTACAGGTAGGAATCTGAAGACCAGAGAGATTAAAGTATCAGGCCCCAGATTGCATAGTTATTAGATGGTGGAACTGGCTGTCAGATCCAGGCCATACCACCAGACTTCAGCCCTGTGAAGTAGTAATAATACTGGTAATAATATCCATCCCGTATAATCCTTGAGATTGAAATTATATATGGAGTTCCTAACACGAAAGCTATTCCTCGAAAGGCCATAAACAAATGGTAATTATTGTTATTTTTTAATCTCTAAGTAAAACTGGTAAATCTCCGTGAGATGAAAATAAAAACATCTAGGAGGGAAAGTAACATGTACATGCTGTGCCCTTCTTTTATTTATTTATTTATTTTTGCCTTGGTTTTTATTCTTTTCTAATAGGCGGAGGTTCTAGTTAAAAGAACATATATCGTTGGTTTTTTTTTTTTTTTTTGATGACTGCAGAAAGGATAATTAAGAACATTAGATGAAACATCTCAAATTGTAACAGATATTAAATGTGCAAAATGAAAACTTTTTTTTTATTTTTATCAGTTCAGGGTTCAGTGTTATCTAGAAGACTTTGTTAAACTCAGAATTTCAACATGTACGATTTTGTTTTAAATCCAGGATTGTAAGAGAAAAGATAATGCTGTTTACTTTGAATATTAACAATATTTCGCTGTTAGTTTTCCATGAAGTTTTATTCAACAAATACTTTAAGAAAAATCTTGCAACCTGCAAGCCTTGGCCAAGTGTCCCCACTTACAATTTGCGACAAAAGTTTCTCGCTTTTTTAGTTACTCTTGTGGGAGGGATTGGGATGCCAAAAGTCACCTTGATCGAAGCTGCCTTATCAGAGAAAAATTAAGTGTACATTTTTGTTTCCCTTTAGATTGCCTTTGTTTCATTAGTGGAGTCACTTCAATATATTGAACTAGAGTTTGAGATTTTTATTTCATTTTTCATTGGATTGATTTTCTGGTGTTAGTCGTTAAAAATGATTCCAACTATTTGAAGATATCTAGCATGTTTGCTATTGTTTCATTATTATTTTTTTTAATTTAACTTTCTATTTACCTAAAATAGTAATAATTAAAATTAAATGGAGGTGAGCTTTTCTCATTGAATTTAGTATCTGTATTAAATACCTTACTGAAACCCATACTCTGAAGTATTTTGATTGAAAAATTAGCAAAATAGTTGACCAAAGTAAAAATAATGAAGCAGCTCACTGGTCATCTGGGTTATTAAGGGCGAGAACATTAAGGATAAACTGAAGTATGAACATTATGATCATTCCGTTTTTTATAAATATTGTCTTATACCTCCACCTCCATTTTTAAAGAAAGTAACCATTGAATAATGGAAAATAAAGAGCAATTGATAGTTGTATATCTTGATCAAGTTGCATATCTTGAGCAGCTGCTTTGACTATTCTGTGATTGAATCATCTTACAATTAAAATGTGAAAGGTTGAACCAAGTAAATTCTTTGATTTCTACTTTTAAAAAGTATCATAGTTTTATGTAATGTTTGTTTACATAAACAAATATGTAAAGCATTTACCTTAAAAATAACTTTTACAGTGACAAAAATGAAGTATATAAATGGAAAGGGAATAACATTATGCTTGATCTGTAAATTATGACATAGAGAAAATTTATAAAATATGCAGAAATTGCCTTTTTAAAAAAGCTGTTAAACAATGACCTAGTTTTTGTTAACAGAGATTTTCATCTTATCTAAAGAGTCTTTATTTGGCTATAATGTCAGAAAAGCAGAAATTGTATATATAATATATCCTAAAAACTTTTTTTATGCAGTCAGCATTTATGACTTTGGAGTAAGTGATCTTACCCCCAGATCTTCGACTCAATCACAATCCATTGTCAAATTACCAAAGATTTGTCTTTATCTCTCAAAAGAAATCTCAAATAATTCTACCCAAATCAGGGGGGAAAAAAATGAACCTTTTTAGGTGCCAGCAAATGGTGTTGACATAATAATGTACATATTTAAGGATAACGTAGTAGAATATGTAATTAAAATTAAACTGTATGTTATCTTAAAATGATTTAATTTAATTATTTTAAAATATAATTTGATAATTTAATAATATTAGTTTATTTTCAGTTTTATAGTAAAAATATCGATTTCTGAAATTTGACGATAACATATAGTATACTTAGTTTATATCAATACTGACTGGCCAGATAGCTGACAGGCTAATAGCGTGTGTGTGTGTGTGTATCATAGTCATATTATGCTCATTCTGTCATTAGAATGAAATGATCTAATTTTCAAGTTCCCCTTTTCCTAGAAGGTAATGTTTTCTTTTATCTTTTTAGTCTACTGTCAAGACCGTCTCTAAATAAATTGTAGTAGTATTTCCCAAACTGTTTGTTAGTTGTATAGTTCTCAAGAAAATACTGGGTTTTCCTTGACAGAACAGAATGTTGATTTGTTTTGGGATTCCTGGCTTAAGTTTTATTCTTTGTTTCTTAAAGATGCTTGAAAAAAATTTCCCCCTTATTGTAAGCCTTTTGGAAATAGAGGCCAATAGCTTCATACATTTAAAATATGGAAAAAAAAAAACTTTTAAAAATAAAATGAAATATATCCCATGAAATATAGGTTATATATCCCTCCATGACTCAGGAAAAATCTTTGTTTTCTAAAGTATGCATGGATTTTTCTGGTTTGTTTTTAATTTTGTTCAATCTCTAGGACTTCCCAATTTTCAAGGGCACTGTGGGGCATATGTAGCATTTATTTGATGTATATATGTGTGTGCATATTTTCCCACATCTGTCTCGGTGGACCTACCCTTTGTGAAATCCTAAACCTTGTATTAATGCTTAGTTTTTGATTCATGGTGTTCTGAGAGTAATCATATAATTTTTCTTAGGGTGTTTATTTGATGTGCACTGTAAAAAATGGGGGAGGGAGGAGTTATTTTTTGGTAACCCTGCTGTTGCCATTTTATTGGTGGATTTCTTTCTCTTTTACTGTGACCTGTGAATATCACTGTAGGCTCACTGCCAATTTTGTGAGCCGCTGCCTGCTTCAAAATGGAGGCAGGGAGGGTATCCATTTTCATCAAGAGGATGACAGTGTTTCAGTCTCTCCGACCATCTGGAGAGAGGAACTTTTGGAGCAAAAGAAAATGGGGATTAAAAAATTATATTTAGCAGAAAAGGCAAGGGGAAAACCAATTAAAGTTAAACTATACCTTATGAATTTATGCTTTTCTATTATGCTACCTTCTTTAAAGGAAACATCAACAAGAAAATACACAGGTTATTTTTATAAAAAACTGTTTCCTCAAGTCTCATGAGTATTAGTAAACAAATGTAAGTAAATTAGGATTTTGGCACACTTTTTAAGTTTATTGTCTGTACAACTATAATAAGAACTATAGAGGAGGGCACCCCCACCCCTTCCTGTATATACACTGAGTGTTGGTGGTCTTTGTAGATTCAGGCTTTTAATGGCCCTTTTCACGCATCTCTGCAAAAAGCTGACACTATGGGAATTTAATATTCCAAGATATATTTGTTACTTTCTGTGATCTGGATAGTGCATTTATTTTCTCTGTCTCTGTCTTTATCTGTCTCTTAAATGTGAAAATTTTAATGGAAAAGTAGAGTAAGAGGAAGAGGCTTGATGCATGTTTTTCTCTTTTTACCTTTCATGTTTATTTTTTTTAAAGGGTGCTTAGATTCCCAGGACAATCCTATCAGAATTATATGACATATTTATAACTAGACATAGTTCACAATATTCTTGCCTGTGGCTGGAAAATATCATACCTGGTTTCCCATTCACACAAATACACTGAGCATTTTCATTTGTTTTTTTGTTTTTCTGTGTTCTGAAAGGAGCAGTGTTTCTAGATTTTCATCAGATTTAGAATGGACAGGGTAGAAATTTCCTATTTTCCTGCTTGTTCTAAAGTAATGGACCTTGAGATGCTTTGGTCAATGCAGCCAGCAAAACTAAATTGGCTCTCCTTCCTCAGGTTTATGCTCCATCAGCAAGCACTGCCGACTACAATAGGGACTCGCCAGGCTACCCTTCCTCGAAACCAGCAGCCAGCACTTTCCCTAGCTCCTTCTTCATGCAAGGTAAGATGCTGCCTCTCCTAAGGGGAAACCCACTGGGCAGAGTCTCCCTAGGTCTTTTCATGTCGCAT